AGTTTCTTATTTCTTTTTGATATTAGATATATCATTTGTGATTAATTTATATTATTATTTTTTACGAACCGAAATTTTAACTATTATATTTATCTGAACTAGAGATAGTGGGCGGCTTTTAACCCGAACGCCCACCTGCCCATTTTTAAAAACCCGCCCGCTCACCCGCCCAAGGTTTAAACTAGTTATGCTCACCCGCCCACTCCCGCCAGTAAAACGGAACCTAGACCGATATTTGCTACGGTTCAGATCCTGGATGTTTACTGAATTCGTTATTTAAAAATAATCGATAGCTTTGCTTACTTCCGCTACATTATAAATAGCGATTTTTGATTATTACGTTTTTTTTGCTTGTTATCATGACATATAAATTTTAAACAACGAATATAGAAAAAAAATTAACTAGAAGTGTTGAAAAATATGCATGTTATTTAAAATTGTGATTTATAAATTTGGATGAAATCGTACTTTTTCATGTTATAAATATAAAATCCTTTTTTATTCTTATGATGCTTTTGTAAACTAATTATTATTATAAATTTGATTTGATTTTTTTTTTGCTGATAAGCAAATAATCATATCTTACATTTGTATATTTATAAGAGAAATAAATATAAAAAATCATTAAGAAAAGCTAGAACCTGTGAAATTGTCAATTTGCTATTACTTTCTTATTTTATTTATTCGAACTCCTTTAATTTACATTTAAAATAAAATTTACATGTTTTTTTTATCAAAGAACTAGACCGAAAATATTATTAAAAGTTTCAAAAGTTCTCATATAGTAAGCCGCTTTCAAATAGTTCATGAAATAGGATACAGGTAATGTTTACCTAATATTATTAATTAATATGTAAGTTTTTTTAAAAATCTCTTCCCATTGTGATAACTACAAAAGCAAAACATAAAGGTAGTTAAACTGTTTACTTGTTATCTAACTTTTGACAGTGAGAATCAACATTAAAAAAGGATATTTTTTATCATTTAAATAAATAAAACGGCATTGTTTAAAGCATAAAATATTAGTCTGGATTCAACTTATTTACACTTTTTCGTTGTGAGATAAAAATAAAAAAGATTTAATATAATAAAAAAGAAATTTAATTTTTATAAAACCCAATAAGAATTCCTATAAATCAGCTGCCTCCCTCGGTTGGGCTAAATGATTTTACAAAACAATTATTTTGTATATAAAAAACGTGAAACTTTAATCAATTTATTTTCTTCGGTGTGGTGGGGCTAAATGAGCTCGTAGAAGAAAATTAAATTCTGTTATTTTTATTTTTCCAGCAATATGCTTTATATTTATTTATAATAAATTGCAGTAACGATCCGAACCGACCTGTCAAGAATTGAAAAAGGGTTTCAGCCGTACACATATAATTTTTGGCCCGACTTGGCCCGAAAAAATTTATCAATTAAGATTTTCAGGCAGCTCAGTCAAAGAATTTATTACGCACAAATTGCCCGACCCGAATAAAATTTTTGTGCTATTTTTTGAATCGGTCCAAAATTTTTTGGGCCCGAGCATATCTCTTATTGGTTTATTTTTGCACAACTAAATTTTTTATACATTAATATGTTTATTAGCGTATATAAGAGGGGCAGGGGGAAATTCCACCCCCCTTCAGAAATTTGTTTTTCCTCAAAAATATCATATTAAGTGAACAAAATCTACCCCCCCCCTCCTCTTAACACCTACCCCACTCTTCCCTGCCCCCAAAATATATATAATATACCACTACCAAACGATAATTTAAAGAAAAATAAATAACCGTTAATAATTTTTTAAATTTTTTAGATATAAAAGTTATAACGTGGATCTATCCACCTACAATAAAATTTATGGAGGAAACCCCAATCTAATAGTGCTCCCCGCCTTAGGAAAATCTTAGATACGACTATGAAAGGTTCTAAGTGCAACTAATAAGCGAAATAATTATTCAAGCAAGATTTTTGAAATATGCGATTATAATGAATTATTTTCTGGTAAAATTAATATTAATTTTAAAAAATACCAAAATCGTTACCCTATATTGCTTTCAAAAATAAATGTCTGGTTTAAAAACAATCATCGAATTTTAGTAGATTGATCCCTTCTTTCATCATAAATTTCCACAATGATGGACAAGATATTTAAAAAATAGTAAGATTCCCATCTGCAAAAACAAATTGAGGAACGAAGGTTTAGAATCTTTGGACAATATAATCAAAATCATTTTTCACTGATTTACGTAAAGTAGAAGATTTGTTAGGTTTTATGGAAGATATATTATCATCTGTGCTAGTGTAGCGTTTTAGAAAATTGATGGAAAAATTTAGAGGGACACAAAAATATTTGTACTTCGGACTTTAAAAATATTTTTTATAATTCCCTATATAATAATTTGGTGAAACCACAGAAATAACAATATATCATTTCACTTTCAGACTTATCTACCCGCTGCTTCCCTACTATACATAAAGAAAAAGAGATGGTTGATTAGTTTAACTAAATTATTTGTAAAATGTATAGAAAATAAAAAGGTCAAAAGTACAAGTATAAAAAAGACAAATATTATATGATAACGCAATTTAGCGAAAATCTAATCGTGAAATTATAATTGGAATTGATGGGTATAATTTGAAAGGCAATATGAGTTCAAAAATATTGAATTTGCACTATCAAATATATGGTAGTTTAAATAATTAAATAGAAGAAATGATAGGATTGATGGATAAAATGACAAGATACAGTTAAAAGATATAATAAACATATCAAATTGATAAGCTTGAAGAAACGCAAGTTTCATACTAAACTTTGACTATAAGGAATATAATAGTCTTTAGACAATAGAAGTAAATAAGGATAATAAGGTGGACACCAGTTACATATAAGAAATGAACGTATCCCGAAAAACGAGATAAATATTAAAATTTATATTAATACTTAATTGAGCAAGATAAGATATTGAAATGGTTGCTGAGCTGCTTATGGCATAAGAGATTCGACTATGCTCTAACTTATTTTAAAATATGGATAATAGTCTTTTTTAATCAGTGAGTTACATCTTATTCTACCACTAATAACTATAACTATTTTTGTTTGCTAGAAGGCTAAGCTTTGGCTTAATAGGCTAAACTTATAAGATTTTGCTAATAGATTTTCAAACCTTTTTTGCCATCTATGACTAAAATTTTAAGGCTTTCGTAATATTTCTCTGGAAAAAATATTGAAAAATCGGCTTAAATTGAGCCGTTTATCATAGGAAGTAAATTTTAGAGTATAATGGTAATTCTTTAATTTGGGGTCTTTTTTTCTCACATTCAAGGGAACCCTCTATTATTTTTGAAATCGCTGGTCATCAGAAATAAAATTATTTTACGTTTAACCTTGTTTTTTTTAAAGATTTTAAAATATCTAGCCCATAATCTCTAATATAGTAAGTTTTCATGTTGGCGGCAATCTCGTTGTAAATTATTTAACAATATTATTGAAAGCTTTAAATAAGTCAATATCCCAAGTTAAACCCTGGAATCTATGGATCTTTTTAATAGTAACTTCAATAGATCTACTATCACCCTTTCTGTTTAAATTATCTGCCTTGATTTTGTGACAAAATCAAACTCTGTCCTAAAAATCGCTAAAATATATAAGAAAAACAAATATGGTTTAGCTTAACCAATACATTTTCATACCTAGTTATTGCCATAGGAATGTTTGGAGGTGAAAAACATTCTTAGAAATAAGGAGGAATCAGGTACAGGAGGTATAATCGAAATTATTATTAATTGGAACAAAGAATTTCCTTTTAAATCTATAGTGCAATTTTTTTTTTAAGTTTACCCATCTTTGCTTTGCTTCCTTTTTTCCAAATATATATTATTATTATACACACGGCGCATTGAAATTTTTATATACACCTATTTTTGTAGTAGTTTTTTTTTCTTTGTGATTTCATACCATTTTAAAACAATATATATTCCTTTTTTCAATGCACTTAGAGTATGAGCAATTCAATATTTTAAAATTATTCTATGGGATCGTATTTGCCAATCAAATGTCATGACTGATATTTATGTCTAGTGCATTTTGGACATATCTTGTATTAGATAATGACACTGCTACTACTTATAATAGTAATAATATTACCCATTAGAAATTTGACTAATCAAGGTTTATAATTTTAAAAAATTTAAATAAATCTTTTCTATTAAGATTTTTGATATTTGAAATCTAAATTTATTTAAAAAAATTTGGGTAAAATAATTATATAAAAAAATTCTTTTTTAAAAAATTTCTGCTGAAATAAGGGAACATTTTTAATTTTTAATATAGAGAATATCGACTTAAACTAAATTTATAAACGGAGATCTGCCCTCAACAAGGGAGAACTGACATAATATAATTCGAGCCCAAATCATTTTATTTTTACGAAAGATATTACAATTTTAAATTTTAAGCCTTGTAAAATATTTTTAAAATTATTTAATATAACTAATTATATCATACTATATTTCGACTTATATTAATTCATAATAATATTATGTCAATTAAATTATCCATCTAAAAATATTATTTTTTAATTAATTTTCGTTTAACATTGTTTTGGTTCAAAAAAAAGTAATTTAAATAAGATAAAATTTAAATACTCAATATCTTTATTATCTCTTTTTTTATTGGAATATTTGTTTGGAATCCTGGATACAGAATGAATAAGGTTTATTTACGCTTAATTTGGTTTGAAAAGTTTATAAAATTCCATGTTCGGTTTTTCTTCCGAGACTGCCTGTTTTATTTGGCAGATAAATTTTGGTAAACTTCTTTTTTTAAAAAAAAAGAATGATTGTTTATTTTTACGGCATAGGCTACAAAAAAAAATTTATAAACTTAGCAGATAATGTATATTTTTTTTATTTATTCATCAACTATACTTTAAAAAAAATATTCATTTTCAAGCTTTTCCTATGTACTATATGGATTGGTCTACTTTATTATTATATTATTCAAAAAAAATAGGTGACTATAATTATTATATATATTTCTGAGATAATTTTACAAATAAATTTTGTAATAAAAAAACTATATAAAACAGGTAAAAATTTGGATTACAATTTTCTTCGTTATGAGTTGCAAAATGATGATATTTATATTTCTTTTAAGTGGTTAGGCTCTGATGTTTTTGAATTCGTCTTATTCAGATGGCTAAAAAAATGTATAGGTTTCAAAAATGTAAACAAATGATTGCGGCCAATTTTATATTTAGATAATATTACGCTAGTAAAGTTACCTTTGCGAAAGAAAGGTATTTGTAAAGGTTAGTTCGTAGTCTTCTTCTTCGGATGAAGTGCTAGATATTTCATGCAGCGAATCCTGATGTTCCATTTCATGCGACATTTTATGGTCATTCGACTCTCTGATTTCATCTCGTATTCGATTTTTAATGATTTTCCAACGTCTTATAATGTAAAAATATTCATAATAAACGAAAAAGGTAACAATTTATATTTTTAAAAATAAGAATTTTTTAAAAAACTATAAAAAATGTATTAATTTTTTGATATCGATAGGTAAAAAATATTTTTTTAAATTCCAAAAGTATGAATTGTCGATACAATATTATAATACTTAACCATTCTGCATGCTTCCCTAGCCATATCAAGTATTCGTCCATTTGGGTAATCAGTCACACCTGTCTAACCCTACCTTCCATCTTAAGTTATCTGTTCTTTTATATTCAATACTGATATTCTATTATACTGACTAAACATTAATTCTATACTGATAAAAATTGGAAGACAAAAATTACAATAATAAAAAATTTCTGAAAATCCTCAAGATATAAGAAGTTTAGATTATTCGTCATTATATATGGTTAATATGCAGTATAACAACGTATTTTATTATCCCTATTACTATTTTACAATTAAATTCTATCATATATTATAGAAATACTCCAGATAAACTCATCTAATAAGCTTTAAAAAAATTAATTTCGAAGAAATTTCGGATATGAAGGTCGAAGTAAGTGTGGCAAGATCATATAGGTTATCCCCGGGTTGTTAACCCAAATTAGGGTTCAAAATTTAAAATTGTTTGGTTAGACATCTTGAGACTTGAAACCGAAACCTATCGAACCCATTGTTAATAGGACCCGGGGCGGGTTCTGCCCTTTTTCAGCCTCTTTCAGAAAATTGGTTTTGAAGTTTTTCTTATCAAAATTTCCGCTAAATAGAGTTTATAATTCCTGAGCCCTAATTCGGGTTTCCATTATTGTGGAAAGGTTTACAAAACAAATAATTTTTTTAAGCAGTTTTAGATCCCGATAAAAATAAAGATTTCTGTAAAAAATTTATCCTTAAAAATCTACAGCACAAATTAGAGACCTTCATGGGCCGGGCCGGCCCATGGCCCAAGCCCGGCCCATATAAACTAGCGGGCCTGGGCCGGGCTTGGGTTCGTTGGAAATTTTTGTAATATGGCTTGGGCCGGGTGGGCCTAAATTTTTAAATTCAAATTTAGCTTATTTTAAGGATATTTAATAGGACAAATATAACAAAACATTCTGATTTTATTAGTGTTATTTATCAAATTTCCTATACACCTTGGGAGAGTATATATTTTTTTAAATCGGAAATTGGTATAATTTTACTTAACTTAACACAACGGCCTGGGCACGAAACAGCGAAAATCAGGGAATATTCCCAAAATGTTCCAAAGATGGCCAACATTTTCGATATGACATATATTTTCCCAAGTTAGCGTCAAATTCAAAGGAAAATCCCAACAGTAGCAGAAAATTTAAAAACAATTGTTAGACGTAGACAAATAGATATTCAAGTAAACTTTTTATAATATTTGAAAATAAAATTTTAATTAGAAAACTCAAAAAGGACATAATTTCATAAACTATAAAGGTTATGAATATATACAACATAAAATTTGAAAATATAAATTAAAATTTTGTTTATATCATTTATTAATATTATATATATATTATTACTAAATAAAATATTATATTTCTATTAGTATTACTTCAGCATAAGTTAAGTTTACATAAAATAATTTTATGGGCTTGGGCCGGCTTGGGAAATTTTTTAAATATTATAGCGGGCTTGGGCCGGGCTTGGGAATTTTTTAAATATTAAAAACGGGCCGGGCCTGGGCTTAAAATTTTTTTTACGATGGGCCTGGGCCGGGCTTGGTTCTAAAATCTAGGCCCATGAAGGTCTCTAGCACAAATAACGTGTTTTTTAAAAAAAATTATTATTGATCAACAAATATAATTTATAAATAGCAACTAAGCATTTACCAGAAACCTGGAGGCCCGAAATCTAGATTAACTGACTAAAATGGTGTATTTTGAAATCCTATGCCAGACTGGATTTAAAAATTTTTTAAATCAAGGTCAAGCCGATTTCTAAAAATAAATTAAAATTTTATCGCTAAGTTTGAAAATGAAAACGTTTACCGCTCATATTTTCCGTTAATTTAAAATTTTAAAAATTTCGGGTAAGGTAAGAAACAATCTGGGGTGGGCTTGAAAATGGAAATTTTTTTTCAAAAGGGAGGGGGCCTTAAATTTCGACTTTTACAGGTCTCTGTTATTTATCAACTATTGAGCCGTACAATTCAGCCGTTAATTTATTATCAATTAGGAGAAAGAATGTAAATTTTATTGAGTATACATAATACGATAACAAGCGCAGTTGGCATCATCAAATAGCAATATACAAAAAAGATATCTAAAAATGGCGACTATTATGCTTTTCTATCATATTTATTTATCATAATCTCTAAATAGCAGAAACCCGGAGTGACCGTAACGAACCGTTAAACCATTATAAACCGTTATAAATATATGAACCGTAACCGAACCGATATAATTATTTTTTGAAGGAGTAAAAAGAACCTTTATAAAAAAAGGTTAAACCGGTTTAAACCGGTTCAGTTTTTATATTTTAGAAATAAAAATAATTTGAATATCCAGAATTATATAAACTTGCTCTTTTAGTACTGGCGGTTCCCGCAACACAAATTTCTGTTGAAAGAGCCTTTTCGTGACTAAAATTTGTGTTATCTTATCGTCACAACGAACAAAAAGGAATTCATTTTTATTAGAAAATATATTACTTATTCGTTCAAATAATATATTTAAAAATAAGTTATTTTGAATCTTATATATTTTTTTTATATATAATTCATTAAAAATAAATTTAACCGTAATGAATTTTATAAACCATGATAATTAGCTGAACCGAACCTTTATAAATTTTTGCTTAAGAACCGTAACCAAAATGTAACCATTATAGTTTTTTACATACTGAACCGTAACCAAACTGAACCGTTATAAATAACAATAACGGTTCGGGTCTGCTAAATAGCTCTTATGTAACAAAATTCAAACCGGTTTACAAAACATTTTAGAGGTTTAATGACAAAATTTACGCTCAGGTTCGATAAATAATTACGGTTAATACCAGTTTTAAGATTCAGTTTGACACTTCATCTTTTGTACAATAAAGTTTAATCTTTAATTCAAAACATTCAACTTGGTTACTTGGTATGATCCATATTCATCGAACGATCTTTACTCGTTAGGTTAAGCTTAGAGCCCGTTGCGATGTCTTTACTAGTATTGAATTTCTTTGAGTCGTTATTTTGGTATACTGGGAGCATGAATGACAACGGAGGACACAATCTCGGTATGAAGGTGGATACATTGTAAACGTCATTTTCTTTGGGAATAAGCCTTTCGGCTTGTTGGAAGACAAGCTATAAATAATTTGTTTGACAGTCAAATATATATATTTAAATATTTAAAAGGGATCTCATTAGAAAAATAAACCCCCCCTCTCCCTTCCTAAATTGTAAATAGGAAGCTCAGTAATGTATAGAGTAACGATATATTATGTGGATATCTGCAAGGCTTGCCCTATTAAAAACTTAAGCACAAGCTTATATGCTGGGCATGTAATATTTTTTGCTCGGTTCCGGTCAGTTAAGATATAGAAAAATGAGGCCTTGCCCACTTAAATTTACTAAAAGTTATCCCAGCTAGTTAAATATTTTTGTACTTTCGGCCGTTACATTTTTTAATATCGATATCTAATTTTTTCCTTATATCAATGAAGACTCTTATATCTCATCTCTTTGGTTATCTATTTCTTTCTAGTTTCAAATTAATTGTTTGATATCTGCAATGTATGTTTGTATTTAAATAATATCCATAAATAACTTGTTTAATTTTTTTTTTACTTTAAATCTTATGGATTTAGTTTTTTAATTTAGATAGATTTTAAAATACAAAGAAATAAGCATATTGTAATTTATTTTCAAATAGTTATCAAAATATTAGTTTGCTATTCAAAAAATATCAAAGTTTTAATGCCAGGCCTGTTAAAATTATACGAAAAATCAGAGATTTGCGAGGTCCTGCTAATATTTTATATATTTCGGCCCTGCCCACAATTTTTAATATATGAATTGCCTAGCCCGTCGTTACAGATAAACTATTCAACCTAACAAATAACTTACGTTTCGAAGGGTCACAATTTCCTTCAACAATCGAGAGTTATGAGCGTGTAATTGTTTGTGGAACTTGATATAATTCAATTCGTTCCTTAATTTCAATGAAATTCCATTTTTTGCGGTAAAAAAGCCTCCTTCATATATAAAGAAAGGAAATAAGCATTATGTTATTCTTTATTTTTATAAATGAAATTAAAAGTTTCTTTAATTGTAGTTATATTTTTCGAAAATGGCTTATTTAAATTTTTTAAAAAGAATATTTTCTCACTTATCAATCTATCGTGAAATGTCTCCAATGGATTTTCGAAATCAAATTTTTGGCCATTCAATAGCATCCTGTGTTTTATTATAAGCATATGTTATAATATAAATAATACTTTCATATTTTGTTTAAAGGTGACTATGACAACCCCATGGGAGTCAGCAGCCGGACGCAGGGAAAAAAATTATAAATAAAATATTTTTTGGAAATTTAGGTTATAGAAAATTAATTAAAATGATTTTCATTTATTTAGGCAAATAATTTAAATAATTTTTCGCTATAATAAATATAAAGCTATTAGTTGAAGCGTAATCTTACATACAATTTTCTTTCGAGAAATTTTTCCTACTTACTCACTACTGTTGTTAAACGGCTCAATATTTTAAAAAGGCTAACCCTAATTTTCATCAAAAAAATATTATAAAGCCTAAAGATTCTGCTCGTAGGTGGCAAAAAGGTTTAGACATCTATTTATTAACGAAATATAAAGGCTTGCATGGTATTTTTAGGCTAAAATATTAGGTTAACCGTTTTTTAAAAATCGAGCCGTTTAACAACACTACTACTCACTTTGATTATTAATTCTTTGAAAAAAATCACTTATATATGATAATTCTGAAACTCAAATTGTGGGTAAGAAAATAAAACTTATATTTAAGAATTTAACTTTTATAATTAAAGAACCAACAACAGAATAAGAAATGTAACAAAATTGATCAAAAATAATTATCCTCAAACACAAATTCAGATTTTTTTTAAAAACATATATGATATTATAAATTTCTTTCTCTCAAAATTGTTCTTCATAAACTTTCTGAACAAGAAATAGTAAATCAAGCTAACAAAAAAAATGAATGAAATCAATAAACTTGATCTAATATATAAACAGGAAATAATATTGAAAAATGTCATATTATCTTAAAATTAGTATAAAAATTGTTTCAATTTTGATGAGTAACGCATATTTTGCAAACTTTGTATTTCATTTATAATTATATATTTTTTTTTAATATTTTATGGCGATAATTAATAAAAGGTAAAATTATATAGAGATTTGTATATAAATATATTGTTCTTTTCGATAATCAAATTAAAATGTGTGGAGACCCATTAATTATTGTGTGACAAAAAAAAGTAATGTGATTTGATTTAAATTTATACACTAACATAGATGAAATGATATTATCATATTTTTTTTTATAGCCATTTTCTTTATTAATTGACCAAAGTAGCAAATAATATAGTTTTAAAAAAAGTTATGAAAATAATATAAATGTTGATAAACATGAAGATTCCATATTTCAGCCTCCAAATACTTTTTTCTAAAAATGTCAATAAATATTTTAGTGACAATGAAATGTGTTAGCTGTAAATTTATCTTATTTTGGCTATAGTTATATTATCTTTTTCGAATGACAATGAATAAATTCTTATTACAATATTATTATTGATTAACGTGTATTAACAATATATTTATTACCCCACGATATAATTATAAATATAAAATAAAGCGTAAGAAATTTACAATATTTTTTTATATTTTAAAGATATATTTTTGTACCACCCTGGTGACAACCTCAAGCTCGTATTAATTTGTGTTCTTAATAGAGCATCCTACTGCAAAAAGCAGTTAGAAACTCTTTTGGGGAGTTTTTTTCTAGATGTAAATTTTGATATAAGAGGTGATACGATATCAAATAAAATAAGCTTAATAAAGGTGTACTTATTATTGATTTTTTTTATTAGCATAAAATCATATTTATATTCAGACAGCTAGCAGGAATTCTGAAAAAGAAAAAAAAATACGAACTAGGCGGCGGCATAAGTAGTAGTATAAATAAACCTGAGGGTCTTTTGTTTTTCGATATCATCGTTGTAAGGAAAATTCGGGAGCAATCGCTAAAGATGGAAAATAATATTATGATAATATAAGATATAAAGGGAGTGTAAAGAATAAGCATAGTAAGAGCGTTGGTCATTTATTTTTTATCACATTTGATCTCAAACTTGCTGCAAAATAATAATTTTAAAACAAAACTGTTACTTTTCATAGTTAAGAAAAAAAATTTTATCCAAAATTTATATTGGATAGCCCAATCTCAATTGTATATCCTCGCTTCTCAATTGACTCTTTAATCGCACTATTATGATTAAATGTGGATTGATAAATAAATATAGAGAATTTAAGAGGGAAAATAAATAAATTAAAAATTATTTAAAAAATGGGTTTTTTAAAATAAAAATAGATTTAAAAATTACATAAATTAAAGAGATCACAAAAGTTTGGCAAGAAAAAAGAAAGAAATTTAAATACAGAAAATTGGCATTTCAAAAATTAATTTTTTTAAAAATATGTGATATTAACGATTTTCCTTTTTTGATTGACACTTTTCCAAATTTGAATACCCTTTCTCTTTTTTTGATCGGAAGCCCTCCTAAGTTTTTAGTACTTTTCCTATTTTCTTATCAGATCTCTTCCCTTTTTTGAAATAGGGAAACCCCGTCTGTATATCGAAAGGATGGACTGTTTAAAAAAATATTAAATCTAAGAAGAAGAAAAGGGATATAATAAAAGGAATAATCGTAAACAAAATAATGCCAAAAATATAAACCATGAGCATCAATTTTTGCCAGGGTTGTAAAATATTATCCCATGTGTCTATTGATATTATTTGTTTCAAAGTGGATAGTTTGGATATCTGTTATTAAACAATTAAGATTCATATAGAAATATATTTCTTATATTTCACCACTCCTTAAAATTAGCTAAAATGAGTGATTCACTCAATGATGGGGAGGGGGGGGGTTAAAGGAACGTGGTGAAGGGGAACCTAAAAGATAATATTTTGTTAGTATACAAGTGAAATAGTTACGTTTATTATAATGTCAAAAATTTTAAAAGACACTAAAACTTAAAGATAATTTTTTAATATGAAACGCACATTATCGATATCCTGGTTAGGTAATGAGATCTTATCATTCTTGTATACGAGATCTTGATGGTCCATTCGGGAAAACTAAAATTAAATAAAAATATACTCATTTTTAAATTCATGGTGTAATTATTTATCCGAAAAAGTGATCGACAATCAGGGCCCAATAACATGGGGGTGGAAGCTTACGAAAAGTGCGTTATTAAAATCTCAGAGGATATTTCATGGGGTACCCTCCATTTCTTTCTTTTCAAATGTATCTAGATAAAGATAACTAGTCTACGAAATATCTAGATATATATATATATACATTTTTACGACATACTTAATATACATTTTACAAAAATCATGGAAGGTGTAAATGCCAAAATTGAATATCTAATGTTTAAAACCTGAATTTAAACCCGTATCTTTCCGATTTTTCTAAAATTTTTACTAGTGATTCCATATATTATTATGAAAAAAATAAAATTTTAGCCTCCGACTCTGAATACGGGCCTCATGGTCAAAAAAATAGGGCATTTTGAGCAAAGTGAATTCCCTTTAATTTTAGATATCTTTAAATATAATTAAGCTAGAAGCGTTATTTAAATTTCTTTATAATGGGTTAGCCTTTAAATTTATATAATGTTAAATATTTTAATTAAATGTCAAAAACAGGAAATGATTATAAAATTAAATTAGCATTCATTTCTCTCAATTTTTCCTCATGTATAGCTTATAGGATTAATATATAATGCAAAAAATCAAATTGGGTCGAACGTAAGGCTATAAGGAGATGTGGCATTTAATCATTAATCAATTGTAAAAATTCCTAATAATTATTTGATAAATCATTCATTAGGCTTAACGCTTTCAAATATTATATTATTTGTATTTAAATAAAAATTTAAAAAAAGGGAGAGGGGAGAAGCTATTTTATTTATGTAATATATTAACTTGGTTCCCAAAATTGGGAATTTTTTCTTTTTTTTAAACATTAGATTACAATTTATTCAATTTGAATAAACATATACGTTGTCAAGTTTAATAAATATACTTCCTTGGCTGATTCACCGAAATAAATAATTAATAATAATATTTGCCGTATCTGGCGTAAAAAATTAGATGCTTCAATCAGTATCACATTTCCTTTAACATCTAATATTGCCTTTGAGCAACTAAATTAGGACTGCACCGATTTTTTGCGATTTTCAAATGGCATGGTTACAAATGTGTATATAATTAGAAATTGGCAGAAAATTGAGAGATATTTTTTAATACATAACCATCTAGAAATATTAATAACACCAGCCTACGTTTTGGATCGACAAAGCCGATCCATTTTGATCAAATTTTAAATCGTTCGATTCTAAACGCTTCCTTAAAATAATTTTATTTTACAGCTATAATGTTATATCGATATTTCAAGATGTTTATGTATGCATAAGGATTAGCTACCAATTCTGAGATATACACATTAATTAGGCTTTATCATTATCGGCAAAAATAGACAGTTCTAAATCAATCAAAGCTTATAAAATTTCAATAAAAAGCTCAATGAAACGATAATTTTTTAAGACAAACTGTGGACGAAGTTTGCAGGGATTTGTCGTTTAATAACGTCATCTTTGTTGATCCAACCAACGAAAGCGTCTAATATCCTGTGAAAGCCCGAAAAAATATTTTAGCCCTCCCCAAATCCCGCAGAGGGGGATCTTGAGAAGGTTTATAGCCGTTTATGGGATGCAATAAAGACTGGTCCCGAAATTTAGTCCAACGCTTTGATCTTTGAAGTAGGTGATCGTATGGAAGCAACCATGATAGATGGATAGATAGCAAAGCCTTCGAACTGGTATCTTCCAATATAGCCAACTCGAAATCGCTAATGATAGAGACTTAGACTTATAGACACCACTGACTCTTTTACATATGATAGATTTAGAGAGAAAAAAAATGGAATGTGTCAGCCAAAAAATAGGAAAAGATATGCAATTATCGTTAATAATTTATTCTGGTTAATCGTCCAAATAAGTACAATTCTTAGGCCTTCACAACGTATATCCAAATTGTGCGAATATTAGGAAGGAAACATATAGAACCGGGGATACTATAGGCTGCTCCAACGATTTAGACTATCACGTTTTAAAGAAATGGAAAAAGCTTAGGAGAAGCATTCGACAAAATCAAAACAGGTTACGGTGTCGTTACTTCCCTAAGATCACCCTCTTCAAAGACCAAAGTTGCATCCCATAAACGGCTAAAAATCTCTTAAAGATTCTCCTCTGCAAGATTTGGTGATAATTTTCGGGCCATCACAGGATATTAGACCCCTCCACTTTATTAGGTTGGATCTGAATAAAACAACAGACTTATTAAAAGACAAGACCCCGCAAACTTCGTCCACAGCTTTGTCACAAATGGAGATAGTCCAAGACTCTATGAAGAGCGATTTAAAGTTGCCCATATTGGAAGGTACCAGAAGGCTTATCCTGGTCACGGTAACAATATTATAACTATGGCTCTTATTACTATTAGGAAAGGTATTTTTTTTTATAAGAGTCTTTTAATTTTTAAATACTATTCGTTTTTTAGGATATTTCTTTAGGAATATATCTTCTTAAAAACAAACACGAATTAAATGTATAATAACGATAAATTTTTTATAGAAAAAAAAATTGTAATAGGGAAGCTGAGGTTGTGTAAACCTCGGGGCTTGGCAAACCACTTATTCTCATTTTAAAATTAAATATACCAGAAGGTTAAAATTTTATCCCAATATAGTTATTATTAGTTTACATCTATAGACAAAAATCTTTTAAAATTAATTATTAAAAATTTTATTAATGAAATAAAATATTGATGAAATTTTCTAAAGATTTACAGAATTTTAATTTTTATTAAAATATATAATCATTTATATGTAAATAAATTTTATAGCAAAGTTTAAAACACTCTTTTATAATTTGGGAAAGTTTTATGAGTTTTTATTATATCTAGATATTATTTCAATATTTGTCAATTTAAAGTTAACGGGGCTTGCTAAACCATACACGTCAATTATGGCAGTTAATAATGAAAAAAATTTCAAAATCTTGAGAAAGCAATTTCATGGCTCTTTTATGATTGGTATCTAGAATTTATGCTACATGCCAGTTTGCCATACCAACACAAAATTAAAAAAAATCATAATAATAACAAAAATTTTACAAAGAAAGGGTCGATGATGATAAATACAGAAAAAAATATGGGAAAACCAATGTACAGAAAGAAGAAAGCAACTATGATAAATAAAAAGGATAAATTAGTAAGACATATGAACAGGCAAGCTGAACGAAATGAAGTACCAAATGACAATGCCACAGGATCCGCTCAAGTGATGGAGCAGGAGAATAACCCTAATGATTACATTTCTCCAATAGACCAGCAGATTCAGGCCTGGAAAAATCTGTAGAACAAGGAACATCAAGTGTAAAAAAATAAAGAAAATATTTTTTTATATTAAATTTTTATAAGGAATGTCATTGGCCCCCATAAAGGGGTGACAATATACAAACTCTTGTAAAAAAAATTTAGAAAAATCTGAAGAAGTCGGATTGAAAAGAGTGTTTTTTTTTGTTAATAATTCATCATATATTTTTAAAATATATTATTTCTTTACTTCTAATAAAATATTAACAAAATTTTCATCAGTGAGACTTTTTCATTTAAGCATATTTTTAGAAATATATAAAATGCTAATTTTTGATAAAAAAAACAAATTATTGCTCAAATAACACAAGTTTTAGAAATAAATAAGTAATAACTAATGGATTTATTACTGATAATAAATAAGCCTTCGGCAATATTTATTTTTATTTATATTAAAATCGGAATATTTTGGTATTAAGCATGTCATTGGGACGCACCAAGAAGAATGGACCATTTTTTAGGGTTGAAATTCAAGGATGATCTAAGACCGGGCTAAACCAATGTCTGGGCGGGCATTTCCAATCTAGCTAAAATTTTAAAGTTTACGTTTAAACAATATAAACATCTCCTTCCTTGGATTTTTTTAAAATTTTATATAAACAATTATTGTATATTTTTTTTTAAATATTGTATCTTTTAAATATTTCTAATATTTAAATTTATCATTGAAAATTATTTATATACTAAAAAAAAAAATTTGTTCAATTAAAACTAAAATAAAATAATTTAAAAAATAAAAAATTAAAACACACCCCAGACGGGACTCGAACCCGCAACCTCCGAATTAGAAGTCCGACGCGCTATCCATTGCGCCACTGGGGCTTATGTAAAGTTGAAGAATATATTTAATATCAATAAAGTATGAAATTAAATAAGCTATTAATAACTTAATCAATTTCATTTTCTAAAAATTAAAAAATTTGCCTCTACTTAAAAATAGTATATATAACAATATTTATTAACAGCTGAGTTAATAAATGAAATTTTCCTTATGTCTTTGGTAATCAGGCAAAGGACTCTTAACTTAAATAACAAGTTTATCTTCCATTGTTATAACACATTAAATTTTCAATAAATGAAATGAATTTGACATTATTTTTTTATGTTTTTTAATATTAAATTATTATGAATGTTACAAAAAATCTTAATAAATTTTATAGAAGCTAATATTTTATCATTTAAGATCTAAATGATTTTATAAATGCATAATACTTTCAAAATTAAACAGTTAATTAGTAAATTAGTATATTTTAATCTTTATAAATTTTATCTAACCTATAATTAACAACCTTACATAATAATCTCATAAAACAAGAGCCAATTATCAATTATATTATTGTTAATATCATAAAATTTTTAATCATTAAAAAGTTATAAAATCAACCAAAGAATAATAATTTCAAAATAAAATTTTATTATACATTAAAATGTAAAATAATTATACAATTATGACAGTAATATTACCAAATTAGTTGATATTTAATAGGTTTCTTCAATGTTATTGCATGAACGTTGATTTAATGCAGATATTTTTGCAATTAAAATTTTTTTTTTTAATATGGCATCATCCAATTTTTTAGAAAGTTTTACACTTTTGTCAGCTAATGCAATATTAAGCTAGTAATAAGTAGGATTACATATTCATTTTATTTATTTACATATATCATTTCTAACACTATTTTATTCATTATTTTATATTTTACTTCATAATTTTCCATTTCAGAAAACATATGTTTTATATGCATAAACAATTCCCTTTTCAAACAAAAATTATTTAAGAGGTAAAGCCAGGGATTCAAACCGAGCTTGAATCGTATCTTTAACCTTTTATTTTTTATCGAACCTGAACCGTTAAATGATTTTCTATCTGATCCTGAACCGATTAGCTAAAATCCTGTGAACCGGTATGTCCTTATGATTTTGTCAGGGATCCAAGCCGAACATGAACTGAACCGTTAACCGGTACCGGTTCTCTCATGATTTTTAAATCGGAATTGTTATAAAAATTATTATAAATCAATTTTGATTGATAAATATTAGTCACAAATTTTATAAACTTTAGTATATATTGCCATTTTATGCCTTTTTTTAAATATTTTTAAGCTAATATAATGACCAGAGTTGGGCAGTACGCGAATACTTGTATTCAAGATACAAATTTTTTGTATCTTGTATTCATATCTTTGTGACATTTTTAATAAGATATCGGTATCTAAGATCCTTTTTTCTGAAAAGAATCTTTTCATTTTCTTGAACATTGAACAGATACAGATACTTTTTAATATTAATGTTTATAATTTTACATATCACCACAGTATATATCTTATTTTCCTAAAGAATCTTGTATTAATTTCCTTATTTTTTCCGCCATATATAATGATTATATATCATTGAGTTATATATATATCATTGATATATTGACAACCAAAATTAGATGGAAAATTTACAACTCATATTAAGATAGATAGATAGATAAAAATAACAAAACCAAAACGAAATAAAGATTATATTTTATATATTAATGTAACTCGATAGAATATCATTACAAATTTTATGTATTATTTTTTTAATCTATAGAATGATTAATACTCATGGTAGTGAAGAAGAAGGTAGTGAAATTTAAATTATGGAGATAAGTTTCCCTAAATTAAAATTTTTGATATAAATTTTTTTTAAATAAAAGTTAAAAACGACAATGTGCAAGCTGAATTTAAAACCTTTATAAACAAAATATAATAAAGGGTTCAACACAAATTTTGTTAAACATGTTAAAGTATAATATATGTGGTTAAAGGGAACATAGGTTATCTTAAAAACAAGTTTAGTATATTGTCTACAAAGCTACCCAAAATGGTATGGGCAAAAGAAAGAAAATATTTTCTTTAGGCATCAATATCACATCCATATTTTAAGAACTTATGGATTGTGATAAAAAAAAATACTCTCAAAATATATTATTAAAAAAGCCCTAAATGTAGCACCAAAATATATAATAAAGCTCAAACTATAAATAACACAATATATTTAACATCTAATAAAGAAAATTATGATTCTTTTTATTTTGGTGAAAGAAATGCTGCTGTGAAAAGAAAGTCGAAATACATTATAAATGCTTAAATATCATCCTCCCGTTAAGAAAATATTTTTAAAATATAATTTCAAAGGTTATTTAGTTTCACAATGTTAAGTACGCTGAAATGGCAAAGGTTTAATGATAAATTATTTGAAAAATATGATAATCTTAGAAAATAATGAATCTATTACTCTTTTGTAAATTAATATTTCAACCCCATTAAAAATACTAGTCTCCCTTCCCCATCTATGTTAAGAATGGGCTAATACTAATATTAAAATACCTGATTATCATAATTAACTCATCATTAAATATTTTATTAATTATATAAATATTCATTCTTATAGTGTATGTTATGTTCTTCACGAATAAATAATTGTTATAGATGGCATTTTAATAAATTAAATTAAAATAATATATTAATTAAAATAAAATAAAATACAAAAATAAAAATAAAAAAAAAATGTATATAATAATTATTAAAATATAATTTAAAATTAATTTAAATAAATTATAATATTAAATATATTATAATATTAAATATATTATAATATTAAATATATTATAATATTAAATATATTATAATATTAATTAAAATAATTTATAACAATTATAATATTTGAATGACCTTATATAAATATCGCGAGTTCTAATTATGACCTTTTATAAAATATGCACTCTCTCTCTCTCTCTCTCTCTATATATATATATATATAGCTACTTCATGATACATTTTTTTTAGTTTAGTCGCCAGAGGGAGTTTCTCTTATAACCTTCGCGTACATTCAAAATAAATCTATAAAAATAGCAATAAATAAAGTAATTAATCCTGATATGTGCTATAAGGTAGAACTTGGGTACTATCCTAAATTTGATATTTAATTGCATATAATATCATGTCACACGCTTATCGAATATATTATGTCAATCATTATTCTTTTCTCAGTAGGGATAGATTTTGGAACTCCTTCATTATTAAATATATTGCGATTTAATCTTAATTATTATATAGTAATTAGAGTTTTTTCACATACAATATAAAATGCTAAAAAATAGAATAAGTCGAACAAGGAGGATGTACTTCGATGATACAAAAATGCCCAAAGATCCAATTGACCAAGTGACCAATAAAAAAAATTGCCCAACAGGCCGCAGAATTTCTTATCTGCACCTTGTTATCCCCAGCAATATTTGAAGAAATGAATCCCACAATAAATACATATACTCAAAATCAAGCCTGAATATTATAACAACACTATATTTAATTTGATAACCATAGAAGATGTGAAACATTAGTGTGGTCAGTTGTAGAGGGGGGGGTCTATAACTGGAATTTCCCATCTATACATCCCTTACGCCTTTCATGCCAAAAAATGTAAACATATGACTATAAACAAGAATTTGAAAGAAAAACATGTTAAAGTTAATTAATTTTAAAAATAACTGCTACTATTAAAATCCCCCCCCCCCCCCACTACTAATATCTTGGCTACGCCAGTGGGCAAAACCCTTATATTACATATACCTATTTACAATCATATCCTTGAACAACCTACATGTGGTAAAACTAGTGTTGTTAATTAGCTAAGTCGAGTCAATTTAGATAAAATCCTATTTAAGTTTTGAGTAGCAAAACACTTTATTGAGTCGCTCAATTTAAAGTCGTATTTTACGACTTTACGACTCTAAATTGAGTTTGTCGTAAAAACTCGACTTATCAACAATACTAGGCAAACCCACACTAAATTCAAATTATATTGTTAAAGTATTAAATTCATCTAAAGTCTTTGAGAAATACCCAAGAGCTCTTATTAAAACTATAGAAAATTAGTAAACAAATCGAAGCGAAATACTATTATGAGTGAGATTAGAGATGGGAGGGGTGGGTGATTTAATATCATCTTAAGCTGCCTCTCTCCCCATATAATTGCAATAATCATATCTAAGTCCATTATTTTCTTTAATATTTTCTATTAAGATGAAAAATGATGAGTCTTGAAAAAATAGTTTTTATTTCCAAGAAGGATGTAATGCCTGGAATAGTTTGCATTTTTGCAAATACTGAATCTTTATACAAAATCCTAAAAACTATCATTTCTTAATTGCTTTTTAAGATTTTAGACATTTTCCAGAATCTTACTAAGAATTGAAATATAATTTTTTCAAATTTTCTTTAAAACCTGAATATGCAAATTATTTAAATATTCATCGTAAATTATTTACAAACAATATGATATTATTTGCTAATTAAAAAGAATTGGCAATTTTTTTTATTTTCTTCGCAATGCACCATAAGCGTATAAATCCTCTTTGCATGTATCCCGTAAGTTATTTTGCAATCTATCTTATGATTGCAAACAGCGAATCCACAAATCCCGGCAAGACACTTAAGTTCTCTACAATTGTTAGTGTGTGATTGTACATTCTGGTGTGCATTGGCATCTTGGAACGACATTCTTGCGCATGCTTTCTCCTGATTTTGGGACAATTATGTGAAACAGGATTCTTTATGTACCTCATAAATACCTCAATAAATGGTTCCACTTTTATTACGTTCAATTTATAGAAATCCATGTGCTCATCCTTTGATATATCATTTTCTTTAAAAAATGTTGGTGTTGAATAGGTGAGCAATATTAATATTAGTAAATAATAACAGTGGACGAAATTAGGATTAATAGACCATTTTAAGCACTTTATCAACCGACAATTTATTTTAAATATTACACATATAAAGAGAAGAAGAAAAAAGAGTTGATTGATGATACTATTAACCCTTAAGGTATATGATTTTTATTTATAATAAAGTCACATAAAAAATCTTGTTAATCCAGCCCAATAATTTAATAATCAAGAGTTTATAGCTTTCAAATCATAATATGTGGCCCAGCATGAGACCAGTTAATACAAATATATTTTGTAAAAGACATCCAAAAGATCGACCCATAGGCATAAGCCAAATATCTTGCAGTCCGACACCCCCCCCCCTCCCCCAACAAAAGTTCTAATAAGCCCTTCTGCAATTTTTTATAGGCTCCAGCATCTGTAAAAATTTATCCCCCCCTTCTCCACTCACCTCTTTACTCGATGCACCCTAGGCCTACGTGCTCTTATGTGAGATAAGCGGAAATTGTTAAATTCTAATATTGTAAAAATAAGGGATCTGAACCGAAACGAATATCGGTTTAGTTTAGATAAAAATAATTGTTCAACGTTCAAGTTCAGTTCAAAAAAAATATAGGTTCGGTTCGAACCTATAAAAACGGGTTTGAACACTTTTGTATATAAACCTACATTCGATTTATATTTTTTATTTGTTGGATATTTTGTAAAATTTATGAGTTCTAGAGGGTAGTTTCTTTTTATGTGCTCTACCAATCAGTAATATTATATTTTGATGTGTTATTTATAATTCTAATGTAAATAATTTATATATTGGGTTCGATTTGTTTCTAAGCATAAACGTAGAAAAAATTTAAATTTAAAGAAAAAACAAAAAAAAATACGAAAAATAACAATGCCAATACTTAAAACAAATCAAAAATAGGGTGTTCCAGTTTAAAAGCTTTTTATCCTAGACTAAAAAGCAATTAAGTATAAAAATCGACCCAGGACAAGACCTAAGCTTAAAAATATTTAAATGTTGTAAAATAGTAAGGTTTTAAAAATTAAATTAGAATGTTATCAATATACTAATATACTAATAATCTTTCACATAATTTTATAAGCACAAAATCATGAATCTTGAACTGGTTTAAAAGAATATACAGGTTCCGTTAAGGTTCGGACAAATCATTTAACAGTTTAGGGTTCGGATTCGATAAAAATCCGGCTAGGTGTTCAGTTTCGGTTTAGATCCCTGGTAAAAACCTTAGGCCAAAAAAATATCGGATTCGATAAAAATCCGGCTAGGTGTTCAGTTTCGGTTTAGATCCCTGGTAAAAACCTTAGGCCAAAAAAATACCTAAAGCCTTAATCTTTCTCAAAAGAAGGGCCTTAACTTCCTGTCATTATTTGCCGAAATCTTAAGGGTAATATGTGTTTGGCTAGAAAAATCTGCTACGAGTTTCTAATCAATACTATATATTCTTAATAAAGTATATAAGAGAAAAATGCTTTCCTTTTAAATAAAATATATTTTATATATTACCTTTATTAACATAAACTTTGAATTAACATTATATTCAAATGATATCATTATTTAGAAATTCTTATTAAAAAACTTTTATAAAAATTGAAAATATGATTTATGAGAATTTCGTTTTAATTAAATAAATTTATTTTTACATTAGAATGTTACAATCCTTATGGACATCATTTATATTTATTTTATACTCTTTATTCTTATGAAAATAGCAAGTTTAAAAAAAAATATCTGCCTAGTTTGTTTTTTTAAATATCTAGCGTTATTTAATCACTCAACCACGTGATCACATTTTGGAATGCTATTAATTATTGGAAATGTTTACAGATTAAGCAAACTAATTATGGGGTTAAAATTTTCAGGTTTATTGCAAACTCTTGCTTTATTGTTACATGATGCAAATATCAGGGAATTTGTGCCGAATCCAGAAAGTGTGGCGTAAAAATTTAATTAAACAAAATTTTTAACTACCGCCCCAATAGATGATATATACAAAATAAGATTTAGTGTAAGTTAGGATAGGAGAAAGGATTATATATAAGTAAGAAATAATTTATTATAATATGGTGGCCCAAAAACTTCGCATTTTGAAATATTTATAACTATAAACCAATATAAAATATAATTTTCTCAAAATTATTTAGAATTTGATAGAATCGTTTTTTTTATAAAATTGTTAAGATCAAAAATGCTAAAATTTGACAAAAAATAACTCAAGACTCAACTACTTTTTTTACATGTTTTTATTTTGTTGAACTTCCGCCGGACGCACTTTCCCTAATTATAAATTATAGCACAAAACACAAATATATATATTTTTTTAATAAATTCAATTATAAAATATAATTAGGAAAATATATCGGTTTAAATTGTCCTCTCTCTTGTTTAATAACGAAAACATTCTCGTATTCCACTTAGAAGGCCAACTTGACTTATTTCTTTTTTTTCAAGTTTGTATAAAGATACATAAAATAAAGTCTATAATTACTCCAATACGTGATAATTCAGTAAATTTTAGAGTTGGGGGACCATTAAGCAGATTTTATATGGGTAATTAGTAGAAGAAGAATTTAGTGTAAAGGGAGAGTAGCCCAACCCAAAGATCAGAGGCTAATTAGCAGTGGCGTCGCTAGGAGGGCGCGCAGGGGCTCAAGCCTCCTAAAAAATTTGAATAGCCCCATGAAGCAAAAATTTTTTTAAAAAATTGCTCCTTAATATCCTCTAGAACTAAAAATAAATTTTTCTTTTATAATTCTATTGAGTAATATATAGATTTGATTTCATTATTTAAAAAATTAATAAAACTATCTAAATTTTTATTAAATGAATACTATTTTAATTATTAGTTTAGATTATACATATAAATTATATGTTCACTCTGTCAGCTTGCAATCAAATTCTGTGTTAAAAATATATCAATATCACTCAATAAATATTAATTTAGCATTAACAGTTGAAGCTTAATTGACTTTTATTATTTAACCTTAATTAAATAAATATAATCATTCATTAATTGAAAATTAACAAATTTAATATTGTAATTAGCCGAGTTCAAAATCACTAATCAACTACATTTTGATTTTTAAATTTAATTATCATGTTTCTTCCTAAAATTATTTTCAAGGTCCAAATACAAATGAGTATAAGATATTTATCAGAGACCTGCAGGCCCAGCCCTAAACCCGGATACCAGGGCCGGGCCGTATTTTAAATTTTTAAAATATACCTAAGCCGGGCCGGGCCAGAAAATTTTATTTTTAAAAAAACCCATGCCGGGCCGTATTTTTTTAAAAAATTTATACAACATGAATTATTATATTCGCCAATTAGATATGGTTATAATGATTATATATAGTTATGATTAATATAATCTTTGGTGAAAGTTAACACTAGCTAACACTCATAGTATCTATTACATAATAAAATTATAGTTTTCCTGCCATGGAATAAATACGCAAAGGATTAAATACATTATATAATATATGTTATATTTTTTATTAAAAATATCATTTTTTTTTATAAATACATAGTATATTCTCAAAATTTTATTTACACAAATTTTTTATAGTATTAATTTGTAATATACTAAATATCTGTTTAGAATTAAAAAAAAATAATGTTAAACGGCTCGTTTTGAGCCGATTTTTAAAAACGGCTAACTCAGGTTTCTAAATAATGACAAAGATTATAAATGGAAAGGATTCTTAAAATACACATGGCATTTTTTTTTTATTTCGAATAAAAATTTTATTGTATCGAAAAATAATTAAAAAATGGGATTTCTAAAACATTATTCCATTGAAATTGGTTTTCCTTTTTAATAAAGAATCGATTGGTAAAAGCTAATTAAATTATAATCGTGATTTCTTATAAAATCAAGGTTTTATTTAATATATTATTTTTTAAATTCCAATGAAAGGATTTTATCACATTTAAAAGAACCGAATATTTTGCCCAAATTTTTTGCCCAAGATGACCTATGATTAAATCCTTTTAACATAATTTCATAATCACACATTATCCTTATTATATAAAAAATTATTTTATATAAATAGCGCGCGCTTATAAATATACAAAATCGTATAAAAATGGAATAAAAAAACGTGTTTATTTATATCGAATTCGTTAATATAGGGTCATTCTCGTCCAATTGCTCATCGTTATCCGGTGATGGGTACAATAGGAACTTGAGGACCCAGGCGTGTTTGCAAGGTAATTTGACCAAGGGGACGTTAGAGAGATTGGCTATGAAAATAGATTCATTATCTTTGGTTTTGCGTCTCCATGGAATGTTTTTCTTGGGTCCTGCGTCGGAATAACCTAACAATTTCAGCTCCAACCTCATAGTAGTACCGGCATTATTGAAGGGAACATCCATCATTGTCAATTTCAATAGGTAACCGTCTTCCGGCCTGGGCCAATCCATAAAAATTGCATAAATAGAGTAATGATTAAGGGAAGACTCGCCAAAATTCATATCCTTTAAGGTATACCTTTTAAAATATTTAATAATTATTTATATGTTAAAAAAAACTCTTAAATTTTAATAAATTCTTTCATCAGGGTTCAAGAATTTTCTTTAAATTATAAAAAATTTGAAAAGTATTTTAAAAAATACCATGTAAAATATTTATATAATAAAAAATCATTTTTAAATATTCAAAAAATATTGTTTTTTTTATTTTCAGTTATTAAAAACATTTTTTGTGAAAATCATTTTTCGTTTTATTTTAGTATCCATTTTATGTAAATTTAAAATTTTTATAGACATCGAACCTTAACCCACTTGAACCCTGACCTGATTTAATGATTTTTCACTGCCACACCTTACCCTTTTTCAGAAGGATGTTCATAGATCTGGTTATAAGTAATATTTCCAATAAATAAATTAAACATACATATATACTTATTTAATTACATACTATATCGTTGGTATGGTATAATAAATGTTCATAAAAACCAAATTTTTTGGAACGGCTCCTTTTGAGACTTCCAAGGCTGAGTAGCATATATGGCCTCCCCGTTTACATCTAGCCATTTGCCCAATTGTAATAATCTTTCCTCGAATATGGGGACAATTATTCCTTCTGACGTGGGACCGACGTTGATTAATAAATTCCCGCCATAACTATGTAAATTCATTATTTATTTTTTAAATCTATTGTAAAATAAATTATACCTTAAGGAAAAATCATCATGCCGAATAAAAAAAAGGTAAAAAAATTATATATCTATATATAGAATTTGATTTAAAAATTAGTAAAATATTATAATAATTAAATATAAATTGATAAGTTTAGACAATTTTGGTTATCTCAACTCCCTAACCATCCGCTATGGTTTGCCTTAAATAATATAAATATTATATGACAGATATAATCTTTATAAATAAACAAAGGTGAACATTACGTGACCCCTAAAATAATGTAAAATTCATTTTATTAAGTATTATAATAAATTAGGTAAGATAATTTTAACCACTCACCTGATGGTTTCGGCCAAGATTTCCAACAATTCATTCATACTTAATACAGATTCGAGATCCATATTCCTGCGATGACCCCAAGAATGCCTATCCAGAGTCATGCAATTCTCCCACTTTCGTGGCATCAATTTACCTTTAAATGTTATTTATTTTTTAAATCAAATTTGCAAACATGATTATTATTTTTTTTAAAAAAGAGTGGTCATTCTTCCACACGGCGGAATCATTTAAATTTAATTGAACTGGGTTTTAAAAAAACTTATTCAAAAACGAATTAATATCAAAATACAAAGAAATGAGAGGATTGATTTAAATCTTGATTCCTATTTTTTAAATGATTTAAATCTTGATTCCTATTTTTAGAATGATTTAAATCTTGATTCCTATTTTTAAAATAATCGTCGATTTAAATCAATAACCATGCCCAACCCTATAAGATTGTGTCGTACCACATTTTTTTTATTTGTAATAAATGGCATTAAACCTGGTATATATCTGTCTTCGCATGTAAAATAGCCTCCGTGATGACATGGACAACCATAACCCCATCTATCGTTAGTAACCAAGGTAGATTTTACTGGACTTTTGATATTAAAAAAATAGGCTTATAATATAGATGTTTTAAAAACTAAAATAATCATTCCTAATGTGTGTAAAACAAACAAATCTCAATCATTATATGCAAATAGAGTAAGTTCATAGTTCAGTGCCTGTCATGATAAGATATTATTTTTCAATGTTCTAATTTTTGTCTTTTTTGAAATTTTTAATGTTAATTTTTTTTAAAATTATCATTCATTTTCAATATATTCCATGCTCTTTATGTACATCATTTTTTCAAAATAGTAATAAAGTTAAAAAATAAATATTATAATGATATTAAGTTTAAATATGTCAAAGTAACATTAATTCTGATTTTTTTCTTTCTCTAATTAATTCCTCTCCCAAAATCTTAGTTTAGGCGTCATTTTTATCATGCAAAGTAGATATATCAGGGGGGTTTTTATAACCCTCTCTCTCATACAGATAAAACCTTCCGTTGGTGATATTTATTCTAATACATACTCCCCATCCAACGTTGCTTTTATTCTATTCAATAGTAGGCAGAATCGCGAACAATTGTTTCTCAAGAATTTGCTAAAAAGTTCTAGAGATTAAAATTTTTTCAAAATAAAAAAATCTTCAGGGATTTTTAATCTCTCCTGAAGTTTTTTTTTAGAATGCTCAAAAAGATGTTTGATAAAGTTTTACCTAAAATTCCAAAATCTTTTGTGATCTTCGAATATTTTTTGGTGTAAAAATTTTTAACAAAAACAAATCTCCGAAAATTTTTTAATCGGGTTTCTGGGATCTAATGCCATCTACTTTCCTTTTTCGTTATAATAATAATCCTTCCATAGACCTGTCCAGTTCGGTTGGAAAATACGTTCTCCCGTAAACTCAATCGGACTGATTTAACAAAAAAATTATTCAACGGGTTTGGACAAAATTTTATCGGACCCGTAAAATATATAAAAATAATTTGTTTCTCATTGTTTTTATCACAGATGCACCGATATTAATTGAGAATCAAAAGAATTCAATAAAAAAAATTTTTTACAAAAAGTAGCAGGCCAAGAAATAAACTGCTAAGAATATTTTAGAAAGCTGAGTAACCTTGGAATGTGTCAAAGTTATCCATCAGGTTCAGCCACGGTCAGTGCATTTATTTTCTTCAGGTCAATTTCTGAAACAAATTGATAATAGAACCTGGATCCCCCCTCCCCCAGTGAGTGGCAAGGTTTTAAATAACTTGAGGCCAAGTTGCATAGTGAAGCCGATATATGAATCCGTAATTCCTTCTCCCCTTTTGATATCAAATTTGTTTTAATAATTAATTCACCTGACTTGCTAAAAAATATAATTTATTTTAGTATGGACTATGGACCTCTTCTGCCTTATTAAAACAATGTATGAAGGCTTAAACGTTTACCTTTTATTGTATAACCAGGCTAATATATCTAAGCTTTTCCAATATTCTGGAGGACCATTATCGCCATCGAGCCATAAAACTTCAGGATGATATTGGTTAACTATTTCCATAATTTGCGGATAGGAAATTTGCTTATATATGTATAGAACATTATAAGTATGGTTATTTATTTTATAAATTAAAATATTTACTTCAACATATTCCTGCGTGCTAAAATTTGTAGACCTATCTTTCAAGTAAAGTGGATGAAACCATTCAAACAACGAATAATATAATCCAAATTTTAATCCCGTCGTTTCTTTTATAGCTTTTGCAAATAATGCTAAATATATTTAATTTTTAAAAATAGATATAGATAAAAAAAATCGTGAATTCAATCCCGGTTAAACACGTTCGTTGGTTAACTTACCTTAAACTCGAACTCTTTTTATAATCGGTTTGAACCTAAACCCGAACATTAAAATCAGATAAAATGGGTTTGGTTATATTAGGGGTTCAATGATTTATTTGTGATTTTAATTTTATATAATTCATTTTAAATTTCTAATAATTAATCAATCGTTAATTCAAAATCCCTAAAGGAATATTTTAAAAAGGTTTACATCAAACGCTAAGTTATTTTTTATATATTCTTTTCTTGTAATTAATGGATGAATTGAAGCATAAATTTTTGATATCACTAGGAATTTGGTGCTTTATTACATCAGTTTGCTAAGATGAATAAAATTTATGATAATTTCTCTCATAACGAAATCTAAATTAGATTTATTAAGAGAAAAACAATAAATCCCTATACTTCTAAAACTCTAAAGAAGTTATAATTTATTAAAAAATAATCTTATATTGCCATAAGTGGCATTCTGCTTACATATTGGATGTTCTAAATTTTTATCTATATTTAAAAAAATTTGGATGAATTTAAACAATTGATAAATGGGAGTAAATCGATGATATAAGTGCTGAATATTAAAGATACCAACAAACGTTTTACAGGGTAAACAGTTAAATTGAGTAATTATTTTTGTGCTATCTGACTAAAATGTCTCTTAGAGAAATAAACTATCGATATGCATCTTGCCACAATATTAGCAATAGGGCTATGACAATCACACAAATGTTTCACCTATGCAATCTGATATTCATACAATCCGATATTCACATGGTTTTATTTACTTACTAATCTATATTTCAACCAACGCAATAAAAAATTAATATACTGCCCAAAAAAATCATTGGTAAACAAACAAACATGAAATCTTTTGTTCATGGCATAGGGGCTATATAGGGCCTTATCACGAATGATTAGTGTTATTACATGGTCGATTATTAAAAATGGTCAACTCAATATTTTAATCAGGAAAATTTTGCAAACCTAAAGATATAGCTCATATATAGCACATTGGGTATCCAGGCGCGTAGCCATGAATTTTCAGGGAGGAGGGATGGGGGGGGGGCAATAATTTTTTGGAACATTAAAAAATTATGAGAACTAATAAATATAAAATTTAATACATAGTAATTTTATTATATTTGAAAAAAAACTTGAAAATATATTTTAAAGTATTGCAATGCTTCCATAGCGTTTCTTGGAGAGTTGCCTACTATCTTTTATACCAAGATTTAAATTCTGAAATTAATGGCCTTCAGACACATTTATATTCTCTGAATAAAATTTAGCAAAATATTTTTTTTTTCAATATCAAGATTTAATATATTCTCAGAAAGATTTATAGGTAATCGTATTTGTTAATTGCATAGTCATTTGATGAATCCCAAACGTTCATTGATTTGAGTCAAAAATGTATCCAAAAGTGGAACAACAACAGTTATTTTATAAATATCCTCAATTGAATCCACGTTAACATTGAAGCCATTTGTTTATCTAAGTATAAGTCTAAGCTTGCGAATATCAAATTCTTATAATTTCGCTTTCGCTTCAACAATCACATAAATCTCTTGAAATGGTTGATATCTCATAATTTTATGCGGTCATCGTGATTCTCATAGCTTCAGTCAAATTTTGTGAAAAATATTAATTGTGGAGCAAAATAATTTATTAATATATTCTAATGCAAAAAAAATCGGCCATCATACTGAATCTAATAATGTATCTGCTTCAGATAAAAAATCTGATTCATATAAGATCCCTAAGGCATTCAAAATAGGCTCTTCTAGGATCCAAAAATGCGGTGATCGCTTGATATTGAATGCTCTATCTTGTCGGGCATACTTTTTGCAGTTTCTTTCTTCTTGTAGTAAATGAAGTCTCAGAAATAATTGAACTCAACAAATTCTGTCTCGGATATCTGGACATTAATAAACCCTAGAAATGTTGCCTAATCGTCGTTATTAATAGAGATGAATTTTTAAGGTTCAAAAAAATATAAGAAAATATGTTAAATCTTTATAGGATTAATACACAAAAAATAAATATTTAAATTCATTTAACTTTTTGGTAAAATTTTAAATAGAATATAATCCGTTTAGAATAAAGTACTTCGTAATTCATAATTCACGAAAACTTTTATTTTTACAAAAAAATTTGTTAAGGGGGGGGAGGTTCCTACGCGCCTATGGACATTTATCAGAGAAATCTTGAGGCTTAGCAATATTTTTGTCACTAAAATATCCGTCTTAAAAAATGGGCTCAAATCGAGCCGTTTAACACTACGAATAATTCAATTACTATTTGTTTTTTATTCATAAAAAGTTAATCAACTCATTATATAAAGAGATGTGAAGCCGTAACCCTGGTATTTTTGCTGAACCCAAACCCGGAGTGGAGAGTTCAAAGGTTCTAAGTGTTAAAAAAATATTAAAAATTTTGTTACTTTCTTAGCATCTTTCAAAATATTTTCATTTTAAACTTCCATTTTATATTTGAAAAAAAAAATGGTCTATATTTCTTTATGTCCTCCAAATCCTTTCAAAAAAAATTTCATTCCTGAACCTAGATCTTTTTTTTTGTCGAAGGGTTCACATAATGAATGAATGTTGTTCGTTGAAGTATTTTTTTTAATCCTATTTGTTACTCTAAATTAGAGCATGTCGAAGGTCGAACAGCTCCAAAAACCGAATAATTTTTTTAATGTTTTCGGCTTATGGAGTGGTCTGAGCCCCGACTAGCTAGACCTTCATTATTTTAAATAATATAATATCACATTTTTAGCTCCTCTTAAAAAATCGGTTGTCAAAGTATCTAGGTACGAAAATGTGGCACGCACTTTTGCCTGTATATCGATATACCCTTATCTAACAAGAATCCTATCTAGATACTATTTTAGAGATATCTGCTTAAATATATTTGGATATAATTTATTTTACATTTTTTTACATTGAAAACGGGCATGGGAACCCTTCGACAAAAAAAGGGTCTGAATTCAGGAATAAAATTTTTAAAAAGGGTTCGCGTCCAGGTTTAAGGTTTTAAAACATAAAGAAATATTGACTCAAAATGATACATTTTTTTATATTTATTTCTTTCTTATAATACAAGATTTAGAAGTAAAAAATTTAAAAAATAATATCTCTTCTTTCGTATAATACACGATTTAGAAGTAAAAAATTTTAAAATAATATTTCTAACTAGATACGTTAATAGACGATGTAGCATTTACATACATTTTAGAGCTATATCTGTATCTAGATGCATTTGAAAAGTATCTTTTAACAACTCTGGAAAAAATCATGCAAAATTTTTTTAATATTTACACATATAAGAAATAATCAAGATTTTGATTTCTTGTTAAGCATATTTAACTGAGAATTGCCTTTAGGTATTATTATTGTCATTGGGGTTATTCCTAAAAATAATTTTCATTAAAAAAATAACAATACTTTTAATTCTTTCATTTATTCTTTCTTTTTTTTCATCATAATTCATTCTTTCTTTATTCAATAATAGAACTTTTTCAATTAAACATTTAATTTAAATTTTTTTTATTGAATAAATATTTATTGATATTAAAAACTTTACAAAAATTAAAACATGAACATTTATAATACATACACAATTGAATTAAAAATATATATTAAAAAACTTGATTTCTGCCTTTAATACAATAAAACATCAACACTTCGTTCTTCTTTTGCAACAAATATCCTGAATATTCTTCATACATTCTCCAGTTATTCAAGCTCTAACTTTCTAAATTAATAACATAATCAAATCTCAGGAGGGAATTTAACAGGGAGATCCCCTAGGCCCTGTCTTCTTTGCATTTGGATCCACAAAATAATCTAGGAAATTCAATCTAAATCTATCCTTACCTTAAATTCCTGGTATCTCGGTGATGACATTGTCTCGGGCAACCTTTCCACAATCCTGTCCATCTCTCACATCATTGAGAATCTCTCAAATATTACAGGACTATTACTCAATCTCCTCAGATTTGTTTCCGAAATCTTACATTCATTCATTTAGACACCACATACCACGTGATCAACAGAGATGAGATGACATATCTTGGATCACAGATAGGAGGTGAAAAGGCCATGAAATTTTTTTAAACATATCCCTTAACAATTTGTCCAAATTAAACACATTATTTAATTTGAGTACAATCCCAATAACATAGTATTATATGCAAACTCAGGTTATCACTCCTTTAGATCCTGACCTTTCCCAGACCCTCCTTTTGGGACAGTAATTGCTTATCCACCCTCTGCCGTCCTGCCTCCAGCATTGAAAAAAATTTGGATGCTGATCGGCCGTTCTGTTGAATATCTAATTTCTACAATCCCTTTGAGGACAATCTCAATAACATAGTATTATAGTATGAATGATTCAAAGCCATCCCTAGTTCCAATCTTGGCCTCCTCATGACTGGCGAACAGCTACGTATATCCATAGCCCTTCGTGATGCTGGAGTTCCCTCCATTTGCATCGATTGTGGCCAGCCCATTGAATCAAAAGCTCACCATCCCTTGCACTGCTAGTTCTCCTGTGGACGACAACCTCATCATAAATCTTACAACTACATTTTAAAAAAGTTAATGTTCCATCCACCCTCGAACCAGTGGGCCACTCACGAAAGCGTTATACGCCTCGATGGTATATCCTTCATTCCCTGGACTAATGGTCTCCCACTTATTAAGGACTATACCTGTCTTGATTTTGAAGCAAAGTACAACCTCTCATTTTCTGCCATCGAAAGGGTGAAATTTAAAAAAAACAAATACTCTGACCTCATCAACAGTGTTCATACCAATCGTTACCAATACCTTAAATATGTTTGAAAATGAGGCCCTCAAGTTTTAAAATCATAGGAAAAAAATGAAACCTGGATCTCAGGGGACCCCGATGAAGGATTTTGCTATCATCTTCAGATTTTAATATATCCTTATTTGTTTTTTAATATATATTTTTAATTCTATTATATACGTATTTTTTTTTATATTTAATTTATAATATATCATTATTTGTTTTTTAATATATATTTTTAATTCAATAATGTATATATATATAAAGGTTCATGTCTTAATTTTTGTAAAAAGTTCTTAATATCAATAAATATTTGTTTTATTTAATTATTAAAAAAAATTATTTAAGAGGGATGCTATATTTACATTTTAATTTTCATCTCTTAAATTAAAAACTAAATTAATTTTAATTATATATTTGGTATTTATGAACTAAGCGATTGATAATTAAGGGGGGAGGGGAAATAGAAATAAATGTGTATATCCTTATCTTAATCTTATGTCCAGTATAAAGTTTAAGACTAAATTCTCATAAAGATTAGGACTTCCAATTTTTTCCCCTCTGTTTTTTAACTGATTGCCTATTATATCCTTGAATAATTTGCACAGCAAAAAAATATAAAGGTAAATAATGTCTAAAAATCAAAGATGGTGCTACAATTACTTTACATTAATTTACTAATTATTTAATTACCGAAAATAGTTAAAATGGCGTTTTGCACCTTTAACTAGTGTTGTTAATGCTAGTAAAAAAAAAGAAAAGTGTAAAATCCAAAAGTACTGTCTAAAAGTCTAAGTGCTAAAAAATCAAGTGTTCAATCTATAAAAAAAATCTAATCCTATAAAAGTTAAAAAACCCGATTTTGGTCGTTTTTTAAAAACGGCTCTAAGATGTTAGCCAAAATAATATTTTGTAAGTCTGGAGATTTTGCTCATAGATGACAGATAGGTTTGGACCTCTATTTCCCAAATCTCAAGGATTACATAATATTACCTTGGTTTGAATCTTAAATGGGTCGTTCTTTAAAATTGACCCAAATCGGCCTTTTTAACAACACTACTATAGCCCTTAATATCTCGGTAATATAAAAGCTATCGAGTTCAAATTTCGTTACTGATCTAAAACTAGCATATATAATGTTCACACAAATTTTTCGGAGTTGAAAGGGTGGGCCAAAATTTTTAATAATTGAAATTGTTTTTTTGAGAAAAAAATGGCTCACGGTATTTATTTTAATAAGTAAGAATTTATAACGTATTCATTTTATTTTTAACTTATTCCTTTACGCTTTTTATGTTCATTCAATTTAAAAAAATTTAATTATAAAAAGTTAACATTTACATTTTTTTACTCAGTTATTTCCTTCAAATATTTATTTTCAGCAGGATTTCCTTTCTAACTAGTGTCTATTTGATTTAAATCTGATATATCTGATAGTTTGGACTCAGTATATCTTAGCTTAGCCACAGCTTAATTAAAAATAAATATTTTTATTTTAATTTCTTAATATAAAATATTAAAATAAATTGTATAAAATGGATCATGGAACTAATGGCCTTCACATTTTTGATTTTAGAAGGTGAGGATAACATGCATTTGAGCTTTTTTGCTGTTTACAAGAATGATAATATTCCATGAAAAAAATTATTTTTTGTTAACAACTGGGCTTGATAAAAATTAACTTCATTATAAAATCAATTATACTTATATTTTATAGACAATATAATCTTATGTAAGCCTGGAGATTTTACTCATAGATGGCAGAAATGGTTGAACCTCTATTTGTCAAATCTTGAGGCTTATATAATATTATTTTTGCTAAATATTAATTGGACCATTTTTAAAAATAGCAAAGTTGTGATTTCACTAACTAAAACCTAACTAATTTGGGAACTGTTGGGACCACGATTTTCGCTTAGATAGGTACTCAATTTATAAAGACTTTATACTTTCTAATAGCAATTAATAGGAATTTGATTGGGACTCAAAATATAAGTCAAGTTTGAGAGTAGCCTAAATTATATAAATTTTACTGTATGTATGTCAGGGACCTGCAGGTCTGGTCCTATGCCCAGGCACATGGGCTGGCCATATTTTAAATCGCCATTATTATATATATATATAAATTAAAAATAAATATATTTTTTAAAAACCAGGGCCAGACTTGAAAATAAAAAAAATCAGCCAGGACTGAAAATATAAAATCTGGGCCAGGTTGGGCCAAAAAAAATTCAAGCTGGGCCAAAAAAAATTAATTTGGGATGGGCCATCCAAAAGGTACCTCTGTAGGCCCCTAATATATATGAAGATCTGTATATTATTTCCTCCAATACATCTGTTATTTAAACTCAAATAGCCTTGGTGGACACTGGATTTTACAGAATAAAATAATTAAAAATAATATTTTAAAGAAACTCATAGAAAATCAAAAATGGTAGAAGCTCTAAGAATAATGTTTATTTTTCTCTGTTTCTTGAGGGAGAATTTATGGAAAATTGGAAGAATTGGTGGAAAATTTGGATAATTATCTATCTGAATTTTTTTAAACAAAAGATAAAACATTAAATATTTTTAATATATTTTCAAAAATAATTTATCAAATATAACACTGTAATACTGTCCTCAGCTCTGGTGCAACATGTTTCAGCATAACAAATTCAGAGTACTATAAAATGTTCTTGCTTATAGATAAAATTTTGAAAAACATTATTTAAATGTTAGAATATTATATCATTGTTTTATATTTTTACACATTATATTCTATTTCAAAATAAAAATATTAAATCTAACAGCTAACATAGTGTTTCATATCATGCATTTATTTATCTAATATTAAATATATTTTTTTAAATAAATTTCTTAATTTTGAAGGTAAATATATTCAATTTTATTTGCCAAAATATAAAGAATGCAAATTGTTTTTTTTTCATAATATTTAGAGTTTTTTTTATTGATTTGATATGGAAATACTCATTAGAAATGAAGTTCCAGCCTAACATTTTCAAACTTTCTAGTCTTAGAAATTATAATTTAAATTCCTGCTCTCAAATAATTTATTTTAAAATATATACTTCTATAATTTCATATTTTTGTCTAAAGTAATTTTTAAAAAAAAATTGAACCAAATATTAAACCTGACTTCAAACATTATCTTTTTAAAAAAATAAGGTTTTTATATCCTTTTTAAAAACAATATCCAACATTAAAATACTTGAATTATCCATAATATTTTAAGTTGCAAAAAATAAAAATAGTAATTTAATCATTATAACCTACAATATCCTTTTTTGGGCCAATATCAAGACTATTCCAATTCCAAGAAAACTTTGATGGCCACATTGTATATCCTTCATGATGCTTACTGGTTAAAACAACATATCTTTTTTGAATAGAAAATCAAATTCATATATTATTTACTTTGCTCCAGACTTATTGAACAAATCTGCCCATTTGTAAGGATCAAAAAACTGAGCTTTAAAATCTACAGCAAATTCAGGATATTTAAAATGAGGTGGATAGTTATTTTTCATGTAATCTTTCACGTCATTAGGCGATTTATCACCTAACCAATTCCACCAAAACCATTCACTATGCATTCCAGGTACCGAGAATACACCCCAATGTATAAATATACCAATTTTGGCTTCATCATACCACTTAGGAAGAGGTCTCGAGTCTATAGAACTCCAATTCGCAATGTACTCGCCATGGAAAATATTGATAAAATTAGCAACAAAAACATAAGAAATTATTATTTTCGCCATGAACGAAAATAAGAAGAGAAAAAAAATCGGTGTAACTAAACTGAAAATTGCCAGGTAAACTGAGAATGGACAGGTAAATCAAGAATTGACAGGTAAAATTATTTTTATTTAATAACCTATCAATTTTATTTTAAAAATATAAAAAAAATGTTTATTATGTAAAACAAATTTATCCATTATTAATTTTATCTAAATAAATAAAATAGAATAAAGAAGAATTGTAATCCATAAATTTAAAATATGTATAAGAGATATGTTACATAGAAAATATAACATAAATAATAAATTTTAAATATCATAAATATCATAAATATATTTCCGTTAGATGGCGTAATATATAAAAAATTTAGTTTTTAATTAAAAAAAAATATGAATTATAAGAGCATAATTCTTTACTTTGGATTAATTTATTTGTACAAACTATATAATCATAAAATGAAAAAAAAATTAAGTTTCCATCATTATTTTTTGAGTTATGATGTCAATTCTCAGTATAGTCAATTTTTTTAAGATTTTTGAGATTTTGAAATATTTTATTTTTTTGTCTCATTTTGTGTAAACCTACTCATATAAGCATAAAATGAAAAAAAATGTAAGTTTACGTCATTATTTTTTAAGTTATGATGTCAATTCTCAGTTTAGTTAATTTTTTTTAGATTTTTGGGATTTTTAAAATATTTTATTTTTTTGACTCATTTTGTGTAAACCTACTCATATAAACATAAAATGAAAAAAAATTTAAGTTTCCTTCATTATTTGAGTTATGATGTCAATTCTCAGTTTAGTCAATTTTTTTTAGATTTTTGGGATTTTAAAAATATTTTATTTTTTGACTCATTTTGTGTAAACCTACTCATATAAACATAAAATGAAAAAAAATTTAAGTTTCCATCATTATATTTTGAGTTATGATGTCAATTCTCAGTTTAGTCAATTTTTTTTAGATTTTTGGGATTTTAAAAATATTTTATTTTTTTGACTCATTTTGTGTAAACTTACTCATATAAACATAAAATGAAAAAAAAATTTAGTTTCCGTCATTGTTTTTTGAGTTATGATGTGAATTCTCAGTTTAGTCAATTTTTTTAGATTTTTGGGATTTTAAAAATATTTTATTTTTTGACTCATTTTATGATTATATAGCTTGTACCAAATAAATTAATCCAAAATAAAAAATTATACTCTCATAATTCATATTTTTTTAATTAAAAACTAAATTTTTTAAGTCTATTACGCCATCTAACGGAAATATATTTATGATTTTTTATATTTATTATGGGTGTTATAATTTTGTAACATATCTATTCTATATATATTTTTAATATATGAACTACTCTTTCTTCCATATTCTATTTTTTTTAGATGATTTTAATTTTGAAAATAAATTTGATTCACTTAATACAAATAAATTATCTATATTTTTAAAATATAATTGATAGGCCATAAATAAATTTATACCTGTCTATTCTCAGTTTACCTGTCTATTCGCATTTTACCTGTCAATTCTCATTTTAGTTACACACAAGAAAATTACTTTATTATTGGGCTAAATGATTACCGTTCTAAAAAATAGTGTTTAAAAGCCCGATTGGTCGATTTTTCAAAACGGCCCGATTAAGATTTTAGCTAAAATCATATTATGGTCGAGATATGGCGAATAGATGTCCAAACATTTTTGCCAGCTAGGAGCAAAATCTTAAGGCTTGCATAATATTATTTTGGTCATAATCTTAATCGAGCCATTTTTTTTATATCGATCCGAATCGGGCTTTTAACAACACTACTAAAATATAGAATATTTATTTGATTAATATAAAACACGGTCAGTAGTAAAAAATCCATGGAAGCAAAATTCAATAAAATTAATTTTATTTTTTAAATTAAAAAATTTATTATATTATAAATTAATACTTAATTAAAAAATTTATCATATTATAAATTAATACTATTTGTATTTAAAAGTTTAAAGAATTAAATTTAATGAAATATTGACTTGATAAAAGAACGATATTCAAAATAAAATATATACATGCAATAAAAGGATCAACGTTCTGTAAACCAACTATTTAAATGCCTTTAATTTTATAAATGCCTTAAAATACTCCATTATAATCAATGTTGCCATTTATTCAAACAAAATGCTGGAGAATTCAACCATAATTAAAAAAAATAAAATTTCATAACAAAGAATATTAATTTTTTCTCCGGTGATTAATTTTTTATTTAAAAGAATATCTAAATGCAACATTGAAATAATGGAAGATGGTATATTATTTTTTTTTAATGTAATATATTATAATTATTAATAATAGATCCATAAAATTACTAAATAATATAATATATCAAATATAATTTTTTATAAAGTGAGTAATTTTAATTTATTTATCTTAATAAAAGTAAAATATTATAAAACTATTGATAAAATTAAATTATAAATTAAATAAAAAAATTAAAGGTAAATACAAACAGTGGAATATTATATGTCGAAAATCTAATTTTATCAATCATCATATGACAATCAAGTATTTTTATCAATATAACGAATTATATATTTTACAGAAAACTATAAAATATAGATAAGGACATCAGAAAATATCTTTTAAAGACATTACGAGATAAATAATATGAAAATTATATTTTATTTAAAATAAATAGATGGCGTTAAATAATTGAATGCAATTTGTTGCTATATTTATTATCAAGAGCATTGATTAATAAAATTTGTTAAAATATTAATTGCAATATATTCTCTAACTGTCAAATGTGTCTGTAAAAATGGAATTTTACCTAGTATTTTGTAACTAATTCTATATAATAGAGGAATATCAACTATATGCCTACTTACTTTTTCTAAATAAATTTCTTATACTTGTTTGGAATAAATTATTACCATGCTTTTATATTAATGCATATACAAGTAATTTATTATATTTTATATAAACTAATAAAAATATATTTCATATTTTATATAAACTAATAAAAATATATTTCATATTTGTTCCAGGCTTATTGGCTTATTTTTTTTATTAAAATTAACCTCCTATCTTGTAAAAATATTTTATGACTATATATAGCACTAAGGTAACACGGCCGAAGCCCGGACAAAAGCGAGCCGAAGACCCGCCCAAAAGGGGTTATGGGGGCGAAGCCCCCAGTAATTTTTTAATCCCACCTCCCTACGCCTATGGATTTCCCCATTTGTTATTTGTAAATTCATATTTTTCTTAATACGAAATAATTGTTTTAATGTATTTATTAGCTTCATTGTGAAATGAAGTACTTTTAAAGATTTGTCTTACAATCTAACCATAAAAGTTATTAATAACTTGAGCTTTTAAAGTTGCAACTAATTCATTCGTTAGAAAACATCTCCACTACAATTGAATTTTTGTATTGCAATTTTTTAAGCAAGTTGTTTAAGATCGCCCCTATATTATTAATGAATTATTTTGACAATTTATAATTTTTTCTTAAAAACAGTTACTTTGTTTGTATATCTGCTTAATTCGATATAACATTTCATTAATTCTATGTCTATTGATAATGAAGGATCTTCCTGCATTGTGAATTATATAGCATAAGCAACCAATGGGAATATTTTCATTCAAAACTAATAATTCCGATATTACACTTTCCCATTTTCCGAAATTCACACTTGCGCTATTTGCACAAAGAACTGCATTTTCAAGACTCTGCACATGCATAGACGCAATATCCTTCGATTTCTCCAAATCCGATGAAAAATTTTAGATTTACTTGAAACACCTCTTTCTTTATTACAATAGCGCCGTATTTGGGAATTTTTAGTATTTCTATTATTTGATGCATCAGTATAGAGAAATGAGTGATTTCTCTTCAAATACTCTAAGATTTCTTAGTTTCAGGGCCTAGAATATTTATCACTATTTTTATTATTTTATTTATTTTTTTTGGTGGGGGGGGGGGGGGGATTTGTTCTTCTACATTTTATGCTCTTCGCCTCTTTTAAATCAAAAGAGTTTAGGCAATAAGTTTGTAGCACAATCTGTAAATAAATAACTAAGAGAATGCTTTTGATATAGATGAATTATCATAATATAAATTAATAGTTTCTGAAGTAGAGTTCGATATTATTTGATGATTCCTTATTTTTTAAATTTGAAATATGTTTTTTCACATCATGGACTCCACTGTGGCTGACAGTGGCGTCACTAGAGGGGGCGCAGGGTTCGAGCCCCCTAAAAAATTTGAATAGCCTCCTGAAGCAAAAAAAATTTTTTTAATGGAATCTTAACCGCTTGAACTAAAATAAATTTTTTTGATTGCCCCCTGAACGATTTCTTTTATAATTCTATTAAGTAATATATAGATTTAATTTTCTTATTTAAAAATTTATAAGTCTATTTAAATATTTATTAAATGAATACTATTTTAGATATTAGATTAGATTAATACATATAAATTATATTTTTACTATGTCAGCTTGCAATCGAATTTTGTGTTAAAAATAGAATATCAATATAACTCACTAAATATTAATTTAACATTAACAGTTAAAGCTTAATTGACTATTATTATTTAAATTATTATATAACACTAATTAAATAAATGTAATCATTTATTAATTGAAAACTAAATAATTTAATACTGTAATTAGCCGAGTTCAAAATAATTAATCAACTGTATATTTATTTTTAAATTTTTTATCATACCTATCCTAAAAAAAATTTCAAGGTCCAAATAAGTTTAAGAGATTTATTTATAAAAAGTAATTACACATATAGTTTATAATCCTCTACTATATACAGTGTTTATAAAATATTAGATAAAATGCCACTTTTATAGACGTATTTGACAGTTATATAATATATTACAGTTAATATTATCATAAATGTAGTAACAATTTGCATTAACGTCATCTATTTAGTCATAAATAATTTTAAAAATAAAACATTTTATTATTCATCCTACAATAGATGTAATAATTTTGATATCTTTTCTTCTCTTATGAAAGCTACTTTTTTCTTTTTCGAAAAATAGTTTTAAGTTAAAATTTTAATACAAGTA